GTGATCAATGTGGATTAAACGTATAAAATCCCGAATTTAGGTTCTCAGACCGGCAGGCCTTGGGCCTTCGCCTCTTCAAGTGTACTAGATTACAAAAGGGATTCGCGGACACCGAATCTAATAAGGATAACTATAGTATAACGACTATACTTCGTTTGTATGAAGCTAAGCTTAGTTTTTAAGAGGCCCAAAGTTAAACGGTGTTTGGAGAGCCTTTCAGTCCAAATCCGGAACGTCCCCGTCGAAGTGCATTAGCACCGGAGAATGGTCTATAGTGAAATGACCGGCACATAATACCGCTAAAATTAAGCGTACAAAGGCATGGTATTACAGCTCCGAAAATGCATCTACAAGGCCTAAGCCTAAGCGAATATCGAGGGTGGAAGTAGCCTATAAGTGTCTGGTTTCGACAGCGGCAGCTGTACAAGGGTTTGGCGCTGAAAGACGCCTAGAAAACGGAATTCGCTTAAGGCAAGAGGCCCAAATACGTATTCATGATCCATCTGGGCCAAACTGTAAATCACGGATTAAAAGTCACAGGCTGCAAAATTCCGAAAGTGGCGCCGGGCTTTCAGATTTCGGTTTCGAGCGCTATGTCTGGTAATTCCTAGGAAAAGTGCACATTTCCATGTGCGTCCTACTGACAGCACAGATCGGCCCCAGTGCCCACGGTTCAAACTCCCCCCCCTCCCCCCCCCCCCACCCCCGTTGGTTAGGATTAGAAACCTTCTTCCCTCCCTTATTTTAGCTAGACCCCAGGGACTCATTCGACGACGGCGAGAAATAAAAGGCCAGGAAGGCGCAGGCAGATGGCAGAGAATATAACAGGGAAAGCCGCGGGAAACATAAAGGTTCGCGAGCAAGCAACGACTAGTGGGAGAAATATACCCTAGAAGGAAAAGCGCAAGGAAAAAAGGTAGGGCGTTCATGAGTAAAAACGCGGCCACAGCGGCCCGGCTCCTAATAAAAACTCCGGTAGCTTTGGAAACTATCTCTGTCTCGCTCCCTCCCTCTCTCTCTCTCTAACCTTCTCTCTCTCTCTCTCTCTCTCTCTCTCTCTCTTCATCTCTACCCGAATGCCACCTCGAAAAAAATTTTTGCGTAAAAAGTTTATTTTTTTAGTTGATCTCTCTCTCTCCTCTCTCTCTCTCCTCTCCCTCTCTCTCTCGCGCTATTCAGCTCTAACCGAATGGCACCTCGAAAAAAAACTTTTAGCGTAAAAAGTTTCTTTTTGAGTTGATCCCTCTCGCTATCTCTGTCTCTGTCTCTCTCTCTCTCTCTCTCTCTCTCTCTCTCTCCTCCTCTCTCTCTTTCTCTCTGTCTCTCTCTCTCCTCCCGCTCTCTCTCTCTCCCCCCCCCCTCTCTCTCTCTCTCCTCCCCTCTCCTCTCTCTCTCTCTCTCTCTCTCTCTCTCTCTCTTCCTCTCTCTCTAGTCTCTCTAGTCACTCCCGTGTCTCTAAATAGTGCACGGAAAATTGGGCTACGCGACGCTCCAATGCACCCAGCTTTGAACCAGACTCTAGTCTAAAACAGGAAACGGGTTGATTAAGGTTTATGGTTGTCGCCAAAAAATTGGTTTTGAGTGATGGAACGTATACATAAACTTCCGAAATGTGTTTAGAATCGAAAATTAGGCGGCGGTCTACACTTTGTGTTTTTAAAACCGAGGTTGTAATTTTCAATTTGACAACCATAAAGTAGGGTACGGGGAACACTGGTTTATGGTGTCAATCACAACTTGGGTTTTGCTATGTGAAAACCAAGAGGATGATCTGAAATCAATTAAGGAGCAAAAATAATTAGGCGGAAAGGATGTTGCTAGTAATAAGACAGGCGTAAAGGCTGCGAAGAAGACGAGGCCAGAATTGCGTCGGGAGCAGGGACGTAGCGTCTTAAAGGGCACGTTCAGGGACGTTTTTTTTTCGAAAAAAGGAAAGGTTTTTGCCGCGGCCGGGGGTCGAACCCGGGTCTCCCGATCGGGAGGCGCGGATGGATACCAGTCAGCCACAGCTACTACCTGGTAAGGGGGCGAGGGGCGCCCGGTTCTATACTGATAACGGGGTCCTTAAATTTTAACGGGGTCCTTAAAAATATCGGGGTCCTAAATTTTAACGGGGTCCTTAAATTCTGCGGGGTCCTTAATTTTTAACGGGGTCCTTAAAAATTATCGGGGTCCTTAGAATTAGGTCGAAAAAAAAGTTAAGGACCCCGTTAAATAACGGGGTCCTTAAAAATTGATGAAAAAATTAAGGACTCCGTAGCTAAAGCTAAAAAATAGTGTTTGTGTGTGCCAATCCAGCTACAAGTTCCGTCACCATGTCCGGAGGATATCTCGATAGCCGATGAATTTTAAGATATCCTACTATATATTAAGATATCCTACTGTGTGTGTGTGTGTATATATATTTGCATGCAACTTCCGTAAGTATGTGAGTATGTGTGTGTATGTGCGGAGCCTATAAAAAGGGAGGGAGGGTGCGCTTTTCATTTTTTGGTGATCGGCATTCGGCAAGCGCTATGTAAAGTCAAATTTTCAGATGACTTAAACGGGTCCAGGGTTGAAAAGCCGCGAAGCGGTTTTTCAACCCTGGTGTATGATAAGTTATTTGATCCGTACTGGCCGTGAGATGACTGCACACTGACCAGATTTTACAAACTCAGTTATTTTAGACATTAAATTTAAGTTTTTGTAAAAATTTCCGGCATCGACTTCCTTAGGAAACAATCCTAACAATCAATCCGAAGCGACTATGCCCCGGGGGGCACGAAGCCTTTTCTAGTCGCAGAGCGGAAGAAGTAGCAACTACTTTCCCCCCAACTACTTTAGCTACGGAGTCCTTAATTTTTTTCATCAATTTTTAAGGACCCCGTTATTTAACGGGGTCCTTAACTTTTTTTTCGACCTAATTCTAAGGACCCCGATAAAATCTAAGGACCCCGATAATTTTTAAGGACCCCGTTAAAAATTAAGGACCCCGCAGAATTTAAGGACCCCGTTAAAATTTAAGGACCCCGATATTTTTTAAGGACCCCGTTAAAATTTAGGGACCCCGTTATCAGTATAGAACCGCGCGCCCCACGGCGCAAAGGAGGGGAATGGCCTGTCACAGCACGGGCAGGCCGTGCACGCGGTCCCTACGTCCATAGGGTGTACACGTTGAGCCGAGTACACGGCCCCTCCCTGAACGTGCGCTTTAAGATTTTCGAAAATTCACCAATTCCGGGATTGTAATAGTTTTTATAAAAATTTCAGTTTTTACTTTTGTAGATTTTGGGATCGAAAAATACGAAAGCCGACTTTTAGATAAATTTCAGTTTCGTAAATCTTGCTGATGAAATCATCATATTAGCATTATTCGCTTATAAAATTCTAGATAAAATCTAGTTGAATCCTACCTTATATAATTTTGCCGTGTAACTGTCTGTGTGTGTGGACAGGGACTTAGCGTAATACCGGCCCCGAGGGCGGCCGAGACCCGCAAATTCATCAGGGGGACCCTTATGATTTTCATTTTCCCAAAAATTTTGCTGCCTGCGGCGCTATTTTTTCACGTTTTTACGGCCATTTGTAGAGCTATAAACCTTTTGTTCAAAAATTTTTGCCTGCGGCGCTGTTTTCTCGGTAGTGTTTTGAGTTTTTTGGAAAATTTTTTGGGCCCCCGCCCCCCGAAATTTTCTCCTGGCTACGTCCCTGGTCGTGAGTTTCACCCATTACACCCAGTATATGCCTAAAAATAAGGCTTCGGGCGCTATTGCTGTTTGCTGGCCCCGCTTAAAAAAACTCTATTTCATTTTAGGTTTGGGTTTGCACGGGTAAACTAGGTTTTCTGAATTGAGAACCCTGTAGACTAGTGGAACAGCTATTTTCAAGAAGATTGGTTCATTACACCCAGTTTGAGCCCAAAAATAAGGCTTCGTGCCACCGGGGGCCTAGTCGCTTCGGATGGGTGCGAGCTCGTACAGGGTTTCGAGATTGGGGCGCCTGGGCGCTGCGCGCTTCAAGGACGCGCCGTTTTCGAAAGAGTGGGACGGCAGCCCATCCGAAGCGACGGCCCGCCTTGCCCTGATAATGTTGCAAGCCCCTTTTCCGGTCTTTCCGCCTAATTATTTTTGCTGCTTCATTCGTTCCAGATCATTCTCTTTCTTTTCATATAACCTTTCTTTTTTTATCGCGGCTAGCGCACGGACCATTGCCTTCGTGTCGCGGCTTTTCTCTCCCGTGTGTGGGCCCCTCTCCAGCCCAAACGTAAAATAAACCCGTTTGCGTAACTGCCCAAAATGCGCGTGGGTGGGCAGCTACTCAATCGCTTCTCTGCGTAGCTTCCCAGCTACCATTGTGGCTGGGCAGCTACGCAAACGGGTGTCTTCTTAACGCTACTAATTTTCTTTTCCACGCTTTTTCTGATTTTCATAAGCTTTGCGACTCTTTCTAGCTTTCCCGACGCCGCCAGCTTCATTTCAACCCTTATAACCCTGTAGAAATGCTCGGAAAAAGCTATGCCGATCATTTTTCCTCTCGTTCTCGCTTGTCATCTTTCTTCGCTGTTTCGTTTAAAATCGGTGTTCCTGCGCCTAGCGCGTCTTGTAGAACTTTTTTTGCGGTCAGCGTATTTTCAACGAAAACTGCTCAGATTTCGTTCTAGGCATCGTTCCCGCGAAGCTTCATTTAATTTTGTGCGTTTTCGATGGTCATTCGAGTGCTGAAAACTGGCTTTTTTGGACGGGTTACATGCATCTTCAAAAGGAAATCGCTTCGAAAAAAGTTATAGGATTCGATTCTCTAGACTTTCCGCTATTCCTATCGTTTTGAAGGGGGTGATGAGTTGCTTTTTCTGTTTTTTTATGAGCTTTTCAGCTCTTTCTAGCTTTCCAGTCGCCGCCAGCTTGATTTCAACCCTTAGAAATGCTGGCAGAAAGCTATGCCCTTCTTTTTTTCTTGCTTTCTCACGTTCTCTGTCCTCATTTTGGTCGAACAACCTTCTAAAGCCCATTTTTCAGTCGATGGACTCGTCGGTTTGCAGCGACATGACGCGCGAGGCGCTCGGCGACCTCTACGGCTTCAACCAATACAAGAATCAACGGCACTATACTGGTTAGGGGGGGCCACTTTGGTTTTCGACTTTTTGAGTCTTTCTAGGCTAGTTTTTTGTGCTGGTTCAGAATATAACAAAATCAGAGTAGTAAAACATCATTATCTAAACGTTTGTTAAGCGTTAGAGATGCAGACATTCGGTATTGACCTAAAAATAAGGCTTCGTGCCACCCGGGGCCTAGTCGCTTCGGATGGGTGCGAGCTCGTACAGGGTTTCGAAATAGGGGCGCCCGAGGAGCGCGAAGCGCCCAGGCGCCCCGATTTCGGAAGAGTGGAGCGGCAGCCCATCCGAAGCGACGGCCCACCTTGCCTGACAATGCGGCAAGCCTCAAATTGTGCATAAGTACACTTTTATTAATAAAGTTTTACGCAGTTTTTCTGGATAAACCCAACGGTATGGCATGCTGTTGCGACTCTAATCGCACTCAGTGTAAAAAACTACCCCAGAAAGACTCGAAAAAGCGAGAAAAAAGGTTCTCCCATTAGGTACCCAAAGTGGCCCCCCCTAACCAGTATAGTGCCGAATCAACTATTCGCCAATCAATTCCAATACGATGCCGTCCACCTGCTCGGCGTCGTCGAGCGGTATCAACAAAAGTGGAAGCACGCCGACCAGCTCGCCAACGACTTGGACGACAAATGCCGACAGCACGAGGATGCCGCCTTCGCCAAGGACGAGAGGATTCGGAAGCTTGAAGCGGAACGATGCCCGAGCGCAACTCGCTGCGCAGCTTTCGGAGAGCAACGCGCTCGAGTTGGACCTGAAGGCCAAAATGGACAAGTTGGAGAAGTACTACACGGATTTCCTGCGTCCCCCGCTCGCGCCCATCTACCGGCCCACCGCCGAGGAGTTCACCGATCCGATCGCGTTCGTTTTCCCTCCATTTTTTTGACGATCTAAGTTGAAAACCGCGCTATAAACGTGAAATTCCTCGTTTTGGGTCTAGTTTTTTCGCGTGAACTCGCCGCGGTTGCCCTGACAAAAGGCAATTAGCAGGTATTAAAGGGATGCCGACGGCATAGTCAATCGATTACGCGCGGAAAAGAAAATGTCTCTGCGCCTCTCCCCTGGGCGCGCTCTCTGCCCTGTTGGCTACTTGCCAATTTGTTGATGAGGGGGGATCGACACATGCCGTTGGCATCCCTTTAAGGCGCAAATCCAAAATCAGCGCCAGAATTTAAGTTAAAAATCGCGCTATTAACGTGAAATTCCTCGTTTCGGGCCTCAATTTCTCGCGGGAACTCGCGCGGTTGCGCTGAAAGGAAGACAATTTACACGTTGGAAAGCCCAAATCCAAAAACAGCGCCAAAAATCTGGCCTGCAAGGGCTTTCGCAAATATTAGATGATCTAGGCTTCCCAAAAGGGCGTAATTAATTGTTCTCTTGCAGATACGTCGCCAAAATCAAGCCGGAAGCCGAGAAGTATGGTGTGGTGAAGATTGTGCCCCCATCGGTCCGTTTTCTATCTTTGATTCGTCTTTTTAGCGTTTGAAATACCACGAAAACGCTGGTTTCTTTCAGGATTTCGTGCCAACTTTCGCGATCAACGGGTCCACGTTCAAGTTCACGCCGCGCGTGCAAAAGCTCAACGAGATCGAGGCGTCGATTCGCGAGCGGCTTCAGGCAAGTTTCGCTTTACAACGATTTGAAAATCTTGTTTTTAGGGCATCAACCTCGACATCGACTGCTCGACCGACAAGCTCGTGGAGGCGGGCTCGAATTTCGGCTTCTACGACGCGAACACCTCCTACAATCTCGACACTTTCCGCGAATTTGCCGACAAATTCAAGAAGGAGTACTCTCGGAAGCCTCTCAAGGTGGGGATTCTCGTTTATGTGCCCTGAAATTCGTTTCTTTTTTAGGAGATCACGCTCGAAGAGGTGGAGAAGGAATCCTGGTGGGACATCATACGCGAGGAGGCCGTTTCCGTCAAGTACGGCGCCGACTTGCGTGTTGATAAGGTAGATTTTTGCTTAACAGAATCAAACAAAAATGTATGAAAAATTAACAAAAAAGGTCAAAATTTGCTAATTGCTAAAATCTACCCTTTTCCAGAAACAGGCCACGAAACAGGAGCAGCAAGATGGAATGAGAAGCGTCTAATCCACGCCCAACCTAACGAAAAGCAAGCCCGCATTTGATTATTTGTGTCTATAGTCCTAAGCGGGGTATGTTTTGTCTGCCTTTACGGATTTATCTGGACATTCAGTAAATAAAGTTTTTGCAGGATAAAACTTGTGAGAATTGCGACAACCGGAGGTTCGATCTCATACCTTGCCACGCTTTTTGGTTTCTGTTACTATTTAGCTATGCGCCAAAAAAACCGTAGATAGCGTGACCGGATTGCCAAAAAAGGTAAAAGAAACGTATTGTCGGGTTGTGACGTTATTACCCTTTTGGACAAA